CTGTCCATGTAAGCAACAGATGATGCCTCCAACACCTTTTCCTATTGATAGATCATATACCCACATACCCATCACACCAAGAGATGCCTAGCCATCCATGGCAATACACTGAGTGGGACTATGACCCCTTCATCTGCATTATACCCCAGAGAACCCAAGATGTCCAAACCCATGCTTTCCTAAATATCAACTCTCTCAATTAACGTTCAAAGAACACCTACCACAGATGTGTTCAGAGTATGTCTCCTCTATACTGAGATTTCTAAGCTACCCAAACAGAATCACAGGACTATTGTGAAACATGATTATTACAGCAGAGGAAGGTACATAGAGCAATAGGGAATAAAGAAAGAAAAGATAACAACTACTACATTATAAGATTGGAGACAGGGAGAAAGTCGGGGACAGCATCTCCTACTTGATCAGGGATGACTTTCCCATTCAATATGAGTAATTCTTGAGCTGGGTTACAAAGAATAGGCAAGAGTTGTTTATATAGTTGGTTTTCTTTCTCCTCTGTATGACCTAGCACTGAGCTATACTCATTATTCCTGAGACATTTTCTGAAGGAAGAAGGGAAGGAGGGGTTTATTTTACAGGCATGGGAAAGTCTAGCAGTCATTCATTGACTTTCCAGCCTCTGCTCTCAAGAATCAGCAGGGTCCTGGCCCCTGGACAAGGCTGACTGGTTCAGGAATGGGACGACACAAGGACCAGAGTGCCAACTCTTTGGAATTTGGGGTTAGAACCCAGGAGAGAGACTTGGCCTTTCTGGATATAAAAGCCTGGGGTGTTTGGAATGTCTGTGTCTCCTGTGGTGTGAATGGCAGCAAAGGAGATGATGAGGTGGCACACAGGGAAAAGCAGAGATGTCAGGAGTGAAGAGAGGCTGGGAGTACAGTCTCAATTCCTCCTGCCTTGCCCGTCCTATACTGAGAGTCAGATGCCTGCCTTGTGCTCCTTGAATTCCTCTGCTTTTCTTTCCAGTAAACTTTCTACATTTTACTTAAACTAAACTCACTTATTTTCTGATATTTTGAACCAAAAGCACTTTCTCTAATGACAATGGAGTGAAGGGAAATCCAGACAGAAGCTTAGCATAAATAGAAGCACGGTGATCTGAAAAAGTTTGGCTGCTTGATGGGCAGATGTGTGGTCTCCTATGATCTCAAAGGACTAAGACCTTTAGATGTCAGCAAATCCCAAGATAAAAAGGGATGATACATGACAGTAATACACCCATCTTCCTCTGAACATTTCTACATTTGGCATGTGCCTCTTCAGAAAATCTGAGAGGCTATTCAAGTTCCACCTAGCATAGAAGCTCAGGAGAAAGCTTTCAAAGACACGCATGAAATAGACTTTGTGAACTAATTACGTTTAGAAACTTGTAAAGAGTCGGACTGGAGAGATGGCTCAGAGGTCAAGAGCACAAACTACTCTTGCAGAGGACTCCATTTCCAATCCCAGCATCAGTGTCAGGCTCACTACCACCTCTAACTTCAGCTCCATGAAGCACAATGCCCTCTTCTGGCCTCCATGTGCACCTGCACCCACATGCTCATAGCCACACACAGACATGCACACATACACATAATTAAAATTTAAAATTAAGAAAAATATCAAGCCAGGTAGTGGTGGTGCAGGCATTAATGCCAGCACTCGGGAGGCAGAGGCAGGTGAATCTCTGTGAATCCAAGGCCAGCCTGGTCTATAAGCCTACACAGAGAAACCCTGTGTTGAAAAGAAGAATGAAGAGGAAAATCAGGAGGAGAGGAGGAGGAAGAGGAGAGAAAGAAAGAGAGAGAGAGAAAGAGAGAGAGGAAAGAAAGAGAGAAAATAAAGAAAGGAAGAAAGAAAGAAAGAGCATCAAAAACATAAAATGGATACCATCACTAAAGACAGAAATGGATACACCCAAATAGGACATTTTTTTTCTCACTTACAGTGAGATGCAATGATGACAGGTCCAGGAATACTTGATGTCTGCCCACACAGCAACTCTGTATTCTGTGACCAGAGGATCACAATCTCCATATGCATAGTGTTTAAAATTCATTTATTCCAGCATGTATTCCTCTATTTACACCAGCATTAATTTCCCCCAGACTTTCCTTTTACCTCTTCCATCATGTCAGAAGTCACTTACATAGCTCCTGATACATTTTTAGCCTACTGTCTACTATGAGGCATATTTTCATTCCAATGCACAAGAAAGTCTATGTCCTAGTCTTTCCTACCTATCCACACTATGGGGCCACAGTATGGCCCACTTCTGGAATTGCAACATAGTATTACCTGTTGAACAAACAGGCAGAGTAAATCTTATTAGCATAACACAAGGTGTTACAAAACGAGCCTGCTCTTTGCAAAGGATTGAGCTCCTGGGTTCCTTTAACATAATTGTGTCTGCAGCACAATTAAAACGTGATGTGAGTTTTTCCAAACACCATTTACAGACACTCTCCTAGGAATATAATTATTGTTATGTGATAGGTTTAACCTATGTTGGACTTAATATCTTTGACAAAATATTTCTAAATTACAGCTCTGGGAAGTCCTTCAAGGAAGTCATTATAGAAGCTGCCTTTTTTGGTGCTTAACCAAGGAATGTGAATTAATGACAACCTCACTTGGTTGTTGCTGCTTGATGTCAGCTGCATCCATGTGACCATAGGTGTGAGTACTGAACACACACTTATAATGAGGCTTTGTGTGACCTGCCAGACAGCTCCCAAATAATGACATGGAGACTTATTGATTATGAGAGCTTGGCCTTAGCTTAGGCTTGTCCCAGTAGCTCTTATAACTTAAATTAACCCATTTATATTAACCTATGTTTTGCCTCATGACTCTTTACCTTCCATTATGTAAGTCCAACTTCCTCCATATCTCATTGGTGTCTCACAAGCAACAATACACTCACCTTCTACTTCCTCTCTCTCTCTCTGCCCAGAAGTCCACATATACCTCCTGCCTAGCTATCCACCAATCAGCTTTTTATTACACCAATCAGCAATACATTTTCACACAGTATGAAAATATCACACAACACACACTCAACAGCATGCCTGGCACATAAATAAATGATGTCCAACTCTCAGTCCAGGAGGTGGCTATTGGTCTGGGTTCTGTTCTTTCCCTACCTGACTTTCTGAGGATTTCTAAAATAGCTCACTTTAAGAAAATTAGAGGCTCGAGTATTTCTCCTTTGTGCTTTGACCAATAAAAAACTAACATTTTACAAGAGATAAATTTTGATACATAAGAAGCATTTTCTGTGATTGCTAGGAGAGAGAAGACTAACCTGAGATCCTGAGAAATCCCCAGTCCTTTGGTCACCAAGGCCATTTTGCTCCACACATTACAGCTGCAGGACTTTAATCAGCCCAACACAAGAACATTTGCTAACTGTGGAGCCATTGGGAAGGGGTTGCTTATAGATGGATACCTAGCTGAAAAAAAACCTATATTCTAGATATTCTTATTCTAGCTCCTCCTGGCTCTGGGACTTTGAAAATATCTCAGTTTCTCAGAATGGTGCATGTCTACAGAGGTCAGGTAACAATGACTGACAACCTAGAAGACATCTTCAGTCCTTTTCTTCTTCAATTATTTTCTCTACCTCCAAGACTACAGGTGCTGTATTAACTCTTTTCTGACTTTCTTTGTGGTCAGGTTCCTGTGAGTCTGATGGGGGGGAGGGGTTCAAGAGAAGTTTATCCTTTAAAAGGGGAGAGAGACGGGAGGATGCCACTCTCTCTCCATCCTGAACATATTATTTTAGACCTTTTGATGGGAGTTTGATGCTTGGAAATTGCCACACAGAGATGTGGCAGGAAAGAAAGACCAGGAAGAAAGCAATATTGTTACGCCAGCATCGCTGATCCCATGAGCTAACTAACAAACTACAACCTCCTGAAGCTTTCATAAGGAACTGGCATATATCCCTAAGATGCAAAGTGTGGTAGAAGAGTTCCTCTTACTTCCAATCAATGCATCGCAACTAGTCTCCCATAAAACATGACTCTAAGACTATGCTCTACCTTTAGAGTATGTACAGGGCAAAATTTGTGAGGCAGATTTTGTATCCATGCTTAGCATCCTCAATATCTTTCCCCTTGGCTAGTTTTTCTTAAGAAGTGGTAAGGTCATGCAGTTGCTCACAGTGTTCTTTGGATTGATAAACTTTGAAATAGTGTGTTCCTTTTCCCATAGGAAGGTGGAGCTTCCCTCAGAAATAGCAAAGGAGCTTGGACTGAGCAGAGACCATCTCTTTGCACCAAGCACCTATGTGCCCAGGCACATAGATCAAATTGATAAAAACAACAGAACCAATGTAAGAGTTATCCCAGGGCAAATCAGGTAAATTTCAATTGGATGAGATCTGAGAAGCCCTGTCTGAAAGGGTCCCAGTGTTTTTCCAACTCATCTAGCCCCAGGAATTTCCACTGGACTTTAAGCATTTCTGTGGCCAGAATTTTATTGATGCATACTAAGAGAAGTATCACACAAGCTTGAGAACTTTAAAGCCCTGAGGAGGTAGAAGGCAGAACAGATGGTTCTGGAAATCATTGAGGATAGTAAAAGAGAGAACGTGGGCTTCACAGCTATTGGGCTGTGCTTGAATGTGTGTGTCCTAACACCTACCACCCTGGTGTCTTAAAAGAGCCACTGGGGTGTTCTACAAATTATTTATACCCTGCCCTGAACTTGCTTTTCCTCATGTCTAGTAGAGAAAACCAATAAGATCATATAGCAACATCTTCATAAACTGGAGAGTGCTGTGTAAATAGAGAAGCCATAAAGCTTCATGATGAGAATCGGGTGGCAGGCAAAGGGCACGAGAACCTGGGAGGATACCAGACAGCAAACAGCGCTGCTCAATGTGCCACCACCAGACAGCTCTTTCCTGCGTCTGCCTCTTTGTGTCTAACTATGGAGTCGATGCTGGAGTTAGAGTCAACCCATGGCTTCAGACATAGCAACCCGATAGTTACCTTAATATCACAGCTGTGAGAAACACGAACATCTCGGGGCTCCTTTCTCCCCATCTGGTCTGGGATTTTTCCAAGGTATCCAAGCTCCTCTGAAAACACTTCTTCTTTCATCCATCTTCTAGTTCCATAGGGAAGCCTGATATGTGAAGCCTAGTGGAATGGAGAAAGGAATCAAGGTGCACGTCTGCAAACCTCTAACCTTGGTTGAGACTCGAGTTAGCTATGAACCAGTTGTCTCGGCACATTTCCCGCTGCTAAAACAGAGCAGAGGTGTCTGGATAATTTATGAAGAATAGAGATTCATTTAGTCATGGAGTCTAAGAGTACAGGATTGAGGGGCTACAGCTAACAAGGGCCTTCATGCCGCATCTCCTCACAATCACAAAGCCCCTTCCACGGGCAGTGAATGTAGCTCGGTTGATAGTGTTTCAGAGCAGACACAAAGCCTTGGTCACTGCATAAACACAATGGGGTGGTGCACGCCTGTTACCCTCCACTTGGGAGGTAGAGGCAGGAGGATCAGATGTTCAAAGTCATGGTCAGATATGTAATGAATTTGAGGCTAGCCTGTGCTCAGGAGACCTTGTCTCATAAATAAACAAACCATCCCATGATAATGACATTAATCCCATTATGGGAACAAAGCACTGAAGACCCAGTCTCCTCTCACTGGACCCCACATCCTCGTGCCGTTACACAGGATCAGCATTTCTAACACGTGGGATCAGGCGATACACTCAGTTCAGGGCACTGGCCGTTCAGTATTAAACTGGGCCCTATCTTCCCAGAGTCTCAGTCCATGTCTGCCGTATGGTCTAACTACACCTGTTGTGCTTGTCTTCCAGTAACACTACGGAGCTCATATGAGATGACACAAAGGGAAAGGAAGATGAATTCATGAATTCTGCAGAGCAGTGCACAAATGGAACATTTCTCCAGGGCACTGTACAGGTGTGGTGAAGATGGCCGACTCTGAAGTCAGATATACCGAGGCTGTGCCCAGCTCTGTTACCTTTTGCTACATGATTCTTAAAGAATTCCTTGTCCTCTTCAAACCTGGAGTCCTTTTTCTTAAAAAAAATGGATTCCTGACACTTACAACACAGATTGTTTAAGTGACTAAATAAAAAGCCTGGCTCATTAAGCAAACACTACTGTAAATGTTGGTTGTAATCCTGCCTGGGTTATTTTTGTTTGTTTTGCTTGTCTTTGCTTTTCAGTCCATGTCATAGTCAGATAACAAGAGTGGCACACAGGAACGTGCTCAGTGTTTGTTGCCTCTCAGCTGTACCTAGCCGTCTCTCTAAAACATCAAATGGCCTCTTAGGGCTCTATGGAGATTTATAGCTGAGATATGAAGAGGAAGCCAAAGCCTTAAAGTTTACTACGCCAGCACCCAGCAGACCCCTCCTGTCCACACTGCCAGCTCGGGTCCCTGGGGTTACCCAGAAAACACCTGTGCTCTGCTGTAGAACACAGCCTACCTGAACCCGGCATTACACCCACTAGGTTCAGAGAAATCCACCAAGGTGTCATGACAGCCTGCCACAGGTGCCTGGAGAAGGCTCTTCAAGCCAAGCCTTAAACCCTCTCATTCTGTAACCTGCAAAGGGAGTCTGCCATCCCCCTCCTGAGAACCCCATCTCAGCTGGACACAAAGCCAGCTTGTCATTCTTGCCAAACCTGTAACCCTTCAGGGCCCTCCTTACCGGAGCGGCAGACACTGACCTTCCTTCTGCCCATTGCTACTCCAGCCTGATGAGTTTCAATGAGAAGTTCAGTAAGTAGATGCACTTTACATCAAGATAGTATATCTAGACAGCTGAGGAATTGTGGTTTATGTCTCTTTATTGTAACCAGCTTGCCATCTGCTTATCCTGATCATATCCAGTCACAGGACTTTTGGAGTATGGTGCTTGATCCTGTCAGGTTCCTCATGCTATACCCTTATCATCTCCAAATTCATACAACCAGACCAAGAGGGCTCTTAAAATTGGATGAAGACCTCCACTGTGTTACAGCAAGTCAGCTGTGTTGATTGTAGCATCAAGGAGATGGTCCTTAAGTGATCGGCAGGTCGATAAATTGACAAGGGAACAGATTTGGAGTTTTCTTCAAAAGCCTACAGACCTGGTCCCCTACAACCAGCTCATTTAAATGTGATTTATTTTTTCTTTGTAAAAGTCCATTTGAGTTAGAAATAACTGTAACCACCTTGCTTTGGAGGTATAGACATACAATTGGACACATACACTGGACATTTACATAGAAGACATATATTGAAATTTTTTCAGGTACTGTCTTTCATCTATTCTAAGTTACACATTCTAACACAGGAGTTTAGTCTTCTTGTCTTCTCTTTTTAAAAAAAGTGCCTGCTTCTTGCTGACCACGCTTTGGTTTCTCCATGTCTTCCCAGTACTCATTTAACAAAACTCAGAAATACTCAGTAGGTGCTCATAGTGCACGAGACACAGCATTACATGGCAAACAACAAAATAGACACAGGCCCACTTCTCAAAATTCCACACAAAAGCATTTCTTAAACCTAATTTTACAAAAGAGCCTTGAGAGATGGCTCAGCAGTTAAGAGCACTGGTACTCTTGCAAAAGTTTGGGTCTGGTTCCCAGCACCCACAGGGAGCCTAACAACTGTCTGTAACTCCATTTCTGGGGGGATCTGATGCCTCCACAGGCACTGCATGGATTTGGAGCATAGACATATGTGCAGACAAGACACTCGTGCACAGAAAACAAACCTAATAAAATAAAATACATAAAGCCACATTTTAAAAACAATAAAGAGATCTACCACATCCACAGGCAAGGGGTGGAGTGAGACAGGCATACAAACGTAGGAAGTCTTTACTCTGAGGTTCTCACTCTGGAAAGCTTAGGATGTGTCCAACCTGGAGCTTGTGGGTTGCATGAAGCTGAGGATAGCCATGAGTATAGCCCAGCACAAAAAGGTAAACTTACTTACAACATTACAAGAGGGTTTTTTTGGTAGCTCAATTGTTCATTCATAAGCATGAACTCTGTAGTGATGTGTCTTGATATTGCCGGGTCAAAGGTTGGGGCCACCAGCAATGTTAGCATACCCTAGTCCCACTTCTCTCTTTCCTTTATGCCTAATTGTATGAGCAAGTTTCCAGCCTTGTGTTTTCTGAGATTCACGTGTATCCGATTCTAAACCCCTGAGCCTTTTTTGCACTCACATCTACAATATTTTGACATGGTTTGCACCTGGGAATGGATCTTAAGGATTTGTTTAGCCATAAATGTTTCGGGCTTACTTCTCTTCAGGGAGAAAGAACTCAGAACTCACTGTGTTTTTACCTTTCAAGCAGGAAATTAGTGAGCAAACTTGAAAGCACCAGTAACGGTGTCTTCCCCTGAGGTCTAGGCTGGTGTCAGCAAATGCACACACCTAAACTTGCTGGTTTTAAAGTGCTCAGGAAAATCCCTTCTTGGCAAAAGATCTACTGGAAGAAAGGATAGAACATGAGCAGAGAGGTTAGAAGTCAAGAGCTGAGTTCAGTGTCAAGTTCTGACATATGCTAGCTGGATTTTTTTCTTTTTAAGACCAGATGTAATCCCCATTACATTCAGTTATTATGGAGGATTTGGGCCCGAGAGGGGAGGAGGAGAAAAGAAAATGCCATAGTCTGAGCATTTGTGTCACCTTATTTTTTTTGTCCTTTGTGTAGATAAATATTTATTACTATTTTAAGTCTCTAAATGCAGTTGAAATATAATTGCATCATTTCCCCTCTCTCTCTTTCCTCTTACCCCTCCCACGTCTGACCCCACTTCCAAATCCATGGCCTCCTCTTCTTTAACTATTGGTGTCACACATGCATATAAACGATTAACTTTCTAAATGCAGCCTGCTGAGCCCATGCAGGGTTGCCTGCATGCCTATGTTTCTAGAGCTGACCACTTGGTATTGGACAACCAATCAGGGCGCTATTTACCTTCTCTCAGCAGTTGTTAGTTGCCTGTTGCTCTCCAACTAGGAGTGGGGTCCTGTGAGATTTCTATCTTTGGGAATTCTATCAACTGTTGTTGGAATTGTTCAGGTCTTGTTGAGACAGCAATGCTGATGAGATTTCATGTAGCTTCCCCATCATAGACTTTTGTGATGAATCCTAGTGCTCATGGTGATTAGGAGGTAGGACTTGGAGATCTTAATAGACAGTGGTTGGATTAATGCTCTTATATAGACGGTGGTTGGATTAATGCTCTTAAAAAGGAGAACACCACATGAGGACACATCAAGAAAGCGCTAGCTATGGACCAGAAAGCAGATCTCCACCAGACACCAAATCTAGCAGAATCTTGCCCTTGGACTGGCTCAGAGGCCAGAACTGAAAGAAGTAAATTTTAGCTACCTAGTTTATGCTGATTAACAGCTCAGATAAAGTTAAGACGAGAAGACACAAGCTGGAGGGTACCCCAGCTGAGCCACAGGGCAATACGGAACAACTGAAGCAGGGTGGCCCTTGGAACTGTGCCACTTCTCCAGAGTGAAAGGCTAAAAGACAGACTTAATACGCAGGTATGAAGATGCCCAAGTAAATGAAAGACAGGTTATCACTCTACACCTTGGTCTGTCCCATTTGGGACATTTAGAAACTCATGGGACTCCTAGTTTTTTACACTCAGTTATACTGAGTTCCATAGAAAACGATCCATCACCTCTTAATCTAGTGTCTCATACAGGTTATCCCCTCCCTCCTTCCCTCCCCCTCCCTCCCCCCTCCCTCCCTCCCTCTCTCTCTGTCTCTCTCTGTCTCTCTCTTTCTCTCTCTCTCTCTCCCCCCCTCTCTCTTACACACACAACCCTACTCTCCATGTCCTCAGCCACAGCTCCCCCCACCCACCCCTTCCTCTAGTCTCTGTGCTTCTCCTTGGCCTCTTCCCATCCTGGTGTCTAGTTTTCAGTTTACTACACTTGAACTCACCAAGACAGGGAGTCTGTTAGGAAGACCCACCCAGCACAGAGCTTGCATGCCAGGCTGTATGCAGGATGTGGGTCAGTAGTGCCTGCGCTCATCCTTGGCTATTGTCTGCACAGAGAGCAGTAAGGGCACACAGTTCAAAGCACATTAGCCTAGGTGTAAAAGCTTTGTTCAACATCATTTTGC